TAGATGTAAATGCCATATTGCTTTCCTCTTGCCATTCCTCACCTTTGTTAGCAGTCTTCATGCCCCCCTATCAAATCTAGCCCCTCCTACTTCCAGATGTGAATTCCTGTGCACTCCCCACCCCCTGGCTGGGCTCTGTCCACTCCTTGGGATGAAGTGCACCCTTCCTTTCCTTCTGGGCTTTTGACAGGAAAACTCCTCTCCTGCAGTCTGAGCACTCCTGCCTGCTTTATGATTTCTGTTTCTCACAGCAAGTTCATAGGTGGTCCCAGGCAAGCTTCCTGTGACTCCCTGCCTGACACGTTTCACCTTGGCAGCCAGAGCTAGCTAGCTACAGCCTTCCTGCTGCCTTCTAGAGAACCCTGCTCTGATTCATCTCCTTCCCACATTCTACAGCCCAGGAGAGCACAAGTGTCTTTCCACATGCTTTGTGAGATTCTAAGCTCCTCCCCTGCCTCTGGTTTTGCTTTTCTTTTATCTGAGATCCCCCCTCCTCCTCCTACCCCTCTCTCTTTCCTCCTCTCTTCTCTCCATCTCTTCCCCTTCTCACCTCCTTCCTTCCCCTCTCCCTCCTTTCCCCTTCCCTTTCCCCCTCTCTCCCTCTACCTCTTCCTCCCTTCCCCTTCCTCTCTCCCTGTCTTCGTCCCTTTACCCTCCCCCTCCCCCTCTCTCCCTTCTTACCAATGTTTCTGGCATTTAGCTGACTTCCCCAAAGCTGGTGGTCAGATAGCAAACAGCTCGTCTTTCCTACCATTGTGGTTTCCATCCTGTCCCCTTTACCCCTCTCTCTCTGTTAACTTGGTTTTTAGATTTAGCCTACAGAGCCATGGTTATATTATGGCAGCTTTGTACACACTTTGCTTTAAGACAGGTTCTCATATAGCCCAGGTCAGACAGAACTTACTCCATAGTCAAGGATAACCTTGTGAACTCCTGATTCTCCTGCCTTGGCTCCCAAGTGCTGGGCTGGGCCTTGGCCATCACCTGGCCTCCTTTGTTGTGGTTGAATCTCTTCCCCCACTTGGCCCTTTTGTCTCCTCCTTCTCCCTGTTTACCCCTTCTCTCTCCGGGCTTTTCTGTTTCTCTTCTCTCTTTGTGTTGCTGTCCTACAAACTTTTAAGATGACTTAGGTCTTGCACAAGGTCCCCTTTGTCTTAGGAGAATCTTCAGACGGTCATGGTGCTTCCCTCAGGAAAACTGTCATCAGTACAAGTGTATGCCCCTCCATCACATTGGGCTACTTGATCCAGAGAGTGTTCACTGCTTCCTCCCTGACACAAGCTTCTGAAGGGACTGTGAGTCTACCTTGGCATCCATCTGCTGTAGTTCCTTGTATGATCCTGTGTGAAGAAGAGTTGTTTAAACATTTTAAGTGCAAGGTCATAATGTTTTCTCAGCATAACTTAATTAGCAAGTTAACTTGACTGTACCGTGTGTATGTGTGTGTGTATACACATATGTATACTTATGTTACATATGATTGATGCTGTCATTTAAACCCAGCATTGCATTATGATAGTGATAATCCATGTTCTCACCTCATTCTTCTTTTGTGCTTAAATGAGAATCTAAAGCTGGGACTTGGGTGCACTGCTTCCATGCTTAGAAAATGCATTGTCCATCTTCCAGGCAGCCAGCTTCCAGGGAGCTGCCTTCTCAAAGTGCCCACAGTGCAGAGTTTCTGTGTGCTGCCTGGGGCCTTTCTTTGCCAGGAAGAGAAATGTCCTTCTGGAGGCCAGCCGAGTGGCCTTGGCTCCCTGGTCACAGGCTTCCTGCATCAGGGATGGCACCCTGGGGCAGGCTGTTCATGATCCAGAAAGAGGTTTCTGATGATCAGTGGTCTGTGTGCCAGCTCAGCCTTCTGGTTTGTCTTTAATCCTCGAATTGGTTTTTTTGTTCTTGGAGTGGTTGGAATAGATTTTGGTTTGGGTTTTCTTCATTTATAATAATTCTAGAATGTCATCTACTGTGAAATGTTAAGTATGGATGAGCAACAAAGCTGCTTCAAATCCCACCAGTGCGCTATAGCCCATCCTTTCTAAATCTGATTAACACCGAGCACCTGCCAAGCAGCAGGGGCGATTACAGGCTCATCTTTTAAATTCCTTTTGCGTTGGTGCCTCCCCCACTTTGCTACTGTGGGAAACTCAGCATACAGCATGGAGAAGTTAAGAAGTCACAGCCTCACTTGAGTTGTATTAGTATTAATTACCTGTGCAGATCTTGGATAATTGAAACAATTACTCTTCATTTCAGCTCCAGGGCCTGGAATGGATGGTTTCCCTGTATAATAACAATTTGAATGGAATCTTAGCTGATGAAATGGGGCTAGGCAAGACCATCCAGACCATTGCACTCATCACATATCTGATGGAGCACAAAAGACTCAATGGCCCCTATCTCATCATTGTTCCCCTCTCGTAAGTACAGTAATTTATTCCACAGTCATCACTCTCTATGTTGGAGATTGCCCTATCAGTGGCTCGCCCTTGTTTCCCATTTCAGATAGAAAAGTAGTATCGTTTTGGAATACCAGGAATACATAATCTGAATATTGGTTTTAATTTTCCACCCAAGCCCACCCATCCCACTGCAGCCTTTTGGCTGGCTAGTAAAGTACGTCTATGTAGTCATTCTTATTGGCCATTAACATTTTACACCCTGTAGAGCAATCTCAACCTTCCTCGTGCTAAGACCCTTTAATACCCTTTAGACCCTCATGCTGTGGTGACCCCCCCACACCATAAAGTTATTTCATTGCTACTTTGGAACTGTAATTTTGCTATTAGGAATGGTGGTGATATGCTGGATATCTGATTATGTGACCCCATTGCCCAAAGGGCTCATGACCCAGAGGTTGAGAACGGCTGATGTAGAATGGGTCCGAGTAAGTAGCTTTTTGAAGGGAAAAGTGAGAGCATTTTTAGAGCTATTTTCCTTGATGTACTTAGACTTGTACACCTTCCTTATTGTATCTTTAAAATCATTGCTGTGATCTCTGCATCAAAGTAAACTTTGTATGTACACATGGCGTTTCAATGGCTCGTTGCTCCAGAAGGACAGTCTTTGCTGTTTCTAGCACAGCCCCAAGTCCTCGCCCACTGGTGGCTCCGGCTGGTCTTTACCCAACAATCTTTGAGCCACCCTCCCTGGGAGTGAAGTGCTTCTATGCATGCGTGTCAGGGTGACACTTTACTCACTGAGATCTTGTCATGGATTGCAGTCCTGAGACAACTCAGACCTTCAGGAAGAACAAGGCTGTTGATTTTGTATTTCCTTCCATTTTTTTTTTTTTCAAAAGAAGGCTCTGACTTATCTGCCTCCATAATATTTACATGCCCTTTGCATTAGACCTATATTTGCATGGTCTGACTTGGATATTTTGGTTACACTTTTGGGGTTTAAAAAAAATCATTCAGTATCTCTTGCTTCTTTTTGATAGACCTACTTACTGTTTCTTATGGTTTTGTAATTTCTCTTCCCCATATGAAGTTCTTGGAGCTTACGTGGCTAGTTGTGACAAACCCAAAGCATCAGTGATTGTTGGTTTTCAGAAGCACAGGAAAACTCTGGTGTTTTGTACCACACATAGTTGTCCAGTTTTGAATTGTTTTTTTATGAGTTTTGAAATGTAGAATTAACACACGTTGTGGCACTTCATTTCCAGCTTACCTCCTATCTCCATACCTTTAGCATAAATATGTATCTGGGGTATTTTGTATTTTTTAGCCCAGTTTAAGGCAAGGGCTAAAAATAAGTAACAGTTTTCTATTAACTGAATTTATATACATGGGTATGTGTGTGTTTACTGTGTTTTTGTTGTTGTTTTGTAGGACTCTGTCTAACTGGACATATGAATTTGACAAATGGGCTCCTTCTGTGGTGAAAATTTCTTACAAGGTTTGGAGCTTTAATATTTATATATAAATGTGGAAAAGCAAAAAAAAAAATTGGGCCCTCTTTTCTTCATTCTATATGCACATCTGTGAACTGTATTTGGTTGTAAAGTTTTGTCATGTACATCATGTACTAAACAGTGAGAGTTAATCATCCCAAGAAGATTACTGTAATAAACCATAATTACTTTCAGATAGTGAAATGCAGAAGAAAATTGTTAATTATCATATTGCGAGGTTTCTGATGAGAGTAATACAAATGACAAATACCGCACTTTCTGTGTGCTACTGACTGCCTCACTGTGGGCTGCTACTGTGCCGAATGTTCCTGCAAAGTCAGGCAATTACTGGGGCGCTGGGGCTGCCTGCTGCACGCTCCCACAGAAAGGGAGCTTTTCAGCCAAGCAACGGGTTCCCTGCTACTGCAAGCTTGCTGCAATTTCCTTCTCTCTTCTCCTTTTTCGGCCTTAAGTGGGAAGCCTTCCTGAAAGGATCTGGAAAGGGTCAAGATATGTGTGGTTTAGCTACCACTTTCTTCAGGGATAATAGAGCAGTATATGGTAATACATTTATGTGCATGTCACCTGTCTAGGTTCCATTAAGCTCTGAACAGTGAGAAATAGCACCTATGTACTTCCAGTGGGTAATCAATGTATTTTTCTTTCCATTCAGGGTACCCCTGCCATGCGACGCTCCCTTGTTCCCCAGCTACGGAGTGGCAAATTCAATGTCCTCCTGACTACTTATGAATACATTATAAAAGACAAGCACATTCTTGCAAAGGTATGATTTTTTTTCAAAAAAATTTTTTCTTTTATCTCTAATTGTGGATCATCTTACCAGAGTGTAAAGTATCCCTCAATTGTACTCAATAGTATAATTTGATCATTAGATGGCTGGTTTCTTCATTTTTTTTTCCTGAAATCTTGGTCATGGGATTTAATACTTTATATAATGTGTGTGTGTCTGAGACAGAATGAGAGAGAAGAGAGAGGAGAGGGAGACAGAGACAGAGAGGAAGGGAGAGGGGAGATAGAGACAGAGAGGCACAGAGAGAGACAGAGAGAGAGGAGATTGATTGATTGATTGATTGATTGATTGATTGATTGATTGATTGATTGATCGATTGATCCTAGGCTCCTCCCTGCCCATTTGTAGTGAGTTCACATTCTTTCTTTTTTAATTTCCTTTATTTTTATTTTGTGTGTATGAGTGTTTTACCCAAAACACACATGTGCACAGTGCCCTTGGAGGCCAAAAGGGGGCATTAGATCCCCTGGGACTGGACTTAGAGAAGGATGTGAGCCTCTCTGTGAATGCTAGAAATGGGTCCCCTAAAAAAGCAGCCTTCTCTCCAACCCCAGTTCCACATCTATTAAGAAAATTCACCTGGGTTCCTTTTGCGATTTTTCTCTCCAGCAGCCCTGAATGTGTTTGGAAAGAAATAATTGTTTTTGTTGCCCTGGGTTATTGTCAGCACAGCTTCATTCCTCTTGTGCCTCTCTCTCCGAAGGCAAGCAGGCACCCCTCCAGATGGTGTCCTCCATCTGAGCATTTATCCAAGCTGAAGCTGGTGTGCTTTATCTGTTTTCAGTTTTTTTTTTCCTGGTAAAATAACGGACAATTATTGTTTAAATTACTCAGGGCTGTTCCTGGGGCTTTTTATTTGGTGCTGAGAAAGAGTTGCATCTGTGACCTACCTGGCTCCTCATTTGTATGTTTCAAGTTGTCCTTTAGCCACAAATGGGAAGGTTTTCTTCCCATTTATCTCATGTTGTCTCCTAATATGATCGTGCAGAAGGATGAACGTACCATCTTTCCTGGAACAAATCATGAAAACTTAATCCCCGCCCCCATGGTAATTTTCTTTGCCCTGTAGTGTATTGGAAACCTCTAATCTGAAACTAAGTTATGGTCAGAATTCAGCAGAAGTCCTATTTCTGGGGTTTGTTCCATCTCTGCATTAAACCTTTGTTCTGGGAGCTGTGAGTTCCCTTCATGGTATCATAGGAAATAACATAAAGGAAACTCATGCCCAGGGGAGATTTAATAATTGAGATGACACTGACAGCAATTCCGCCTTCCAGTTAGTTCTTCATGCTCCGAGAGATGAATTTGGCAGTGTCAAAAATGACGTGTCTCCAAATATTACTGTGGGAATGTGTTTTTGCCTTTGAGATCCCTAAAAAAAAATCATCTAGTGTCTTGTGCATATGTATTTCAAAAGTCATTGGAGATGCCTGGTAACGAGAAGCCGTGCTTTTATTTGTTACTGGAGAAATGGCTTTCCAGAAAGGGGTGGTAATTTCTCTAGGCAGAAGACCTAATTAGTACATACTCAGTGGCAGAATCAAAGGTCTCTGGTTCCTTGCTGCTTCATAAGCCCAACTGAAGAAGAGAGTCAATTTAGAATATCTACTTAGATGCATTTTTATCTGTAGACCTCTTTTTCACTGCTGTTGGTAAGTTGTCTGTAGAACTTTGGTCATTGTTACACACTTGGCAGTGGTAGAGATACAGGGCAGGGGATGCTGCTAATTTCTTTTATCTGGATATCCCAACTTGGCTGATTGTTGTTTTTTCTTTTCCCTGGCTTCACTGGTCCTTCTAATGAGGAGGTGAGAATTATGTCATACTTGCTTGTCTCCTTCCTCTGACTCTCACTCCAGAACCAGAGACATCTGAGCAGCAGACATTTTTATTTTTTAACCAATGCCATCTTTGTGTAGGTCAGGGATTCTCAATCTGTGGTTCATAACCCCTTTCACAGGGAACGACCCTGTTACAGCGGTCACCTGGGGCCATCTGAAGTATCAGATATTTACATTACAGTTCATAGCAATAGCAAAATTACACTTATAAGGTAGCAACGAAAATAATTTTATGGTTGGGGTCACCACAACATGAGTTATTAAAGGGCCGTGGCATTTGGAAGCTTGAGAACCACTGGTGTAGACAAAGGCTAGGCTTAGTGGTATGACCTTCCTAGTTCTCCCTTTGAGCAGTAAACTTGAAGAGGCTGAAAGGTAGGGTATGAGATAGGAAAGGACCTCTGGGAATATCATTCCATGCTCACTCTTGCCTTTTTAGATATTAGTCGTGTTGAGGAGTTTGCTGTGTTTAGTTCAAAGTTTGGCCCAGGGGGAAGATGGTAGTTTGGCACTGCATTTCTACCAATAAGACTTTGATCATTTTGGCAGGTGAGGGACATGCATGAACTGAGGAGGCCTGTTAGTTTTTTTTGATTTGTTTTGTTTTTTGTTTTTTGAGACAGGGTTTCTCTGTGTAGCTTTGGAGTCTATCCTGGCACTTGCTCTGGAGACCAGGCTGGCCTCGAACTCACAGAGGTCCTCCTGCCTCTGCCTCCTGAGTACTGGGATTAAAGGCATGCGCCACCAACACCCAGATTGCTTGCTCTGGAGACCAGGCTGGCCTCGAACTCACAGAGGTCCTCCTGCCTTTGCCTCCTGAGTACTGGGATTAAAGGCATGCGCCACCAACACCCGGATTGTTTTTTTTTTTTTTTTAAGAAACTAAATGTGTAGATTTTTGTGTGTAATATTCCAGCTTTCCAGTGTTAGCAACCCAACACCGAGCCATCTCTAGAGGTAGCAGACCACTGGTCTATTAGGAAAGAAGGCAGGAAGGCAAGAGGGCCTAGGAGATAGTGCCCTCACTGCTGTTGTTTGGTGCAGCTACAGACAATGAAACAGGAGCCACAAAACTCAACAAAACCTATGGGGAGTTTATTGGGAAAGGGATCGAAGGGAGGTGTAGGTGTTGGCCGACTGGGAGCAGAAATGGAAAAAGAGAGAATAGGTGGAGGCGCTTGCTTAAAAGGGAAAACTTGCACATGCATAGAGTCCTTATGCAGCCACATAGCACACAATATAGACATGCAGTGCATGGTACTGTGAGCTGTTTAAGTATCTGCCTGAATGCCCATGTACTTGCCCTGCCAGTTATCTGGGCTGGGTCAGCATAATGCCAGGATATCAACACCCAAATCTTCCAGAAACCAGTTACTAATGCCTGCTGCAAGAGGCTTTAAGTTCATGCTGTACATGTACAGGGGTATCATGATCACAAAAGTCTGGAAGATCTGTCTTGACACAGAAACAAGAAGACAGTTGGGTGGAAAGGGGCCAGGCCTAGACTTAGGAGTGCCCATTGCACTCTGGGCCTGGTTTTTTCTTTCTAAAGGTGAACTGGAATCACTTGTCCTGAGAGGAGCATTGTTGTTTTAACATTCTGCCAGGCGTGGGCAAGGCTCCATTGGTTGGGATTCCTTTCTCTTAAAGATATCATTCTGTATCCATGTGCTAAATTGGATTCTTTGTTTTCCCACACACATACCCCGCCATTTGGAAGCCACTATATTTCTGTTTACTAACTACACACTGGTTCTTCCTCTTGTGTTTCAGATTCGGTGGAAATACATGATTGTGGATGAAGGCCACCGAATGAAGAATCACCATTGCAAGCTGACTCAGGTCTTGAACACACACTATGTCGCCCCCAGAAGGATCCTTTTGACTGGGACCCCGCTACAGAATAAGCTCCCTGAACTCTGGGCCCTCCTCAACTTCCTTCTCCCTACAATCTTCAAGAGTTGCAGCACATTTGAGCAGTGGTTTAATGCTCCATTTGCCATGACTGGCGAAAGGGTACTGGTCAAACTGTGTGTGTGTGTGTGTGTGTGTGTGTGTGTG